TGGAAATGGAAAAAAATTGAGGAATTGATCACACACACACACACACACACAGAGAGAGAGAGAGAGTTTGATGGAAATGTGTGTTTTGTAATGATAATATGATGAAATATGAATGATTCCAGCTTGCAACAGACAGGCATTGGACAGATGTAAATTTTGGCTAAAGATGAAAATCAGGGTTCATGTGAATTGGAGAGCCGTTAAATTTTGGTTACTTAATACCATGACTAAACCAACAAAATATCAATGTGTAATGATGACACTGTGCATTTAAAATTGTGTGGATGTTAAAGGTCCATGTGTGAATAGTTCACCCAAACATGAAAATTCTGTCATCATTTACTCACCCTCAAGTTGTTCCAAACCTGTATGAGTTTCTTTCTTCTGTTAAACACAAAAGAAGATATTTTGAAGAAGGTTGGTAACCAAACTGTTTCTGGTCCCCATTGACTTCCATAGTTTTTATTTTTGGTCCATACTATGGAAGTCAACGTGGACCAGCAAGTGTTTGGTTGCCCATATTCTTCAAAATATTTTTATGATATCCTCTCAACAGAAGAAAGGAAGTCACACAAGTTTGTAACAACATGAGGGTGAGTACATGGTGACAGAATTTTCATTTTTGGGTGAACTGTACCTTTAAGATTATCACATTAAACAAATGTTGCATCTAGGTTATCACTTCACAACTGTTGGACGTCAATATGATGTTAGCATGAGATGATACCATGACTTAAAAACATCAAAATATCAATGTCATTATTCTGCTTCACACTGACATTAGCATTAGGTGTTGTCCTGACATCATCACCGACGTCAGAACCTACATTCAACTGAATACTCATGTCTTACAATGATGGTGGCTTGCTGGAGTATGATTAGTCAAGTGTGGTGTATTGACAAAGAATTATTACTTACTAGGTAGATGGCTAAGCTCATTGAAAAACTTGTTCTTCATATTTATGAAGTTGTGGGAGTGATGAGAGGGAGGAGGCAGAGGAGGTGGAGCAGGTTTGGGCTCCTCTGATTCTGCTGCCCTCCGCACACGATGCTGCATGCTGACCAATCGCATGGCTGACCAGCTACAGACATAAAACAGACTGTTACTGTCCTGACATAACATAAACTAAATGCCATAAATCACATATATTGCCTAGATCGGTCTCAAGCCCTCAAGAAAGTCTCTCTCTTTCCCTCCCCACCTCTGTCCTGTTTGTGTCTGGCATGACTTTTGATGGAGTAAACTCTGATGCTTGAGCTCAGCATGTCTGTTATTAATCCTGGAATTGTGACATGTCAAAACACAACCATGCACTTGTAATGCCCATGTGTTCAAACACTAGAATGTGCTCAAAAACTCCAATATTTGTCATCCACATTAGCACACAATGGTTATGTTTCCACCTGCCCTACTCTGTTGAACTGACCTCTTGTCACTCTCAGCAGATGCGTAACGAGATTAAATGCCAAAGCTAATCCAAAAATCCTTGGGTTTAAGTAAATTAGGAACAGAGCCCTCCCCTTGCCGCCTCACGTTCACACTTGAGCCTACTCATCTTGTCACCAGACCGCCATGTAAGACTAAAGACTTCAGGTATAGGCACTGCTCCTTTGTATATAAGAATATGTTGAGCAGAAAAGTCACGGTTGAATTTATGACAGGACTTTATGATGATTCTATGTCAGCCACATGGACTGACCACAGTGATGAAAGACAATAAACATAAACCTTTTTACAGTTAAAAAGATGAAATTCTTCATTTTCTCTATTGACCTTGCTGGGTTATCATAATTAACTCATGACTGACCTATTTTCTTCACTCTGTATGCACGATATATATACCACCACCAATAAAATGGATTAAAAAATTACTTCAAGAGATAATTAAGATAGATATTTTAAGATTGTTTTTACATACTGGTGGTTACTTTAATATAATGTTCTTATATATATATATATATATATATATATGTGTCATTTAATTGATTTTTCATCCATTACAATCCATTAAATGTTATTTGAATTTGTTAGTGTCTTAACTTTTTTAAACATGTAGAGTCATATACATCATGTGCATATTAATTATTAGGGGTATATAATTGCTTAAATCTGTTTGTTGTTCAAAAGCATAATTGCTACAGATGAATATACCTCACCTGTGTCTCAACCACTCAGGAGAATATTGTAAATATAAAATTAAATAGAAAATATTTATTTTATTTTTAAATAAAAAACAATTGTTATTTTTTATTTTAACTTTAGCTAACTTTTTTTTATTTAGAAATGTATATGCTTATTTACTTATTTATTTAAATTTAGGTAAAATGATAGCTAGGGCAGGAGTCCACTTCATTCTTGTAAGCCTAGCAGTTCTTTGCTGATTTTCATATTTAGTATTCTGACATCTGCCAAATATATACACCGTATACACAGCTTCCAGCATATTTAAAAGTTTTCTACATTAGTTTTTGAATGAGAAAAGGGAATTAAACGTTTATAACAATTATTTTATAACGTGTGCAAAAGAGGGTTGAAACAATGAAGTAATTTCTTCTCTTCTTATCTTTTCCATAGACAGCAGATACCTTGAAAGTGCGTAATCTGAAGAGGTCAGAAAGCATAATGTGTGCCATTTACTGACACGACTGCACTAATCTGGCTAAAGAAGGCCGGCGTCATACGGCCTTGTTTTTTTTCCTTCATCGCTACTTTGTCCACCAGCGGGTAGAACTGCTGTTTTTTCGGATTACCTAAATCTCATCTAGTCACGCTTTCCGTAGTTTTATTTTTTATTTTTTATGGCAGTTGTCCAAGACTGAAGAGCTTTTACGCACATAGGCTAAGCATCAATTTAGTCGAGCAAAACTCATCTGAGCCACTCTTATTGCGAGAGTTTATAGAAAAGATGTAGCTATACTGTTATACAAAATGTGGCGAACAAGAAAAGAACAAAAAAACGAACCGTGTGTTGTTTATTAACGTCACTTTGCTATATATAAGTAGTTTTCATTTATAATTACATGACATTTCAAGTGAATTAGATTGTCTGTGGACTGTTGCAGCCTATATAGTCTCCATGAATTTAGTGAAAATGTATTATTTTGCTATTCACTCAAACTATCGTGACACATTTTCAAGTAGTTACAACTATATTCCATGTAGTATTTGAATTAATATGATGCTATTAAAGTGCACATGCTATAATAATCATAAAATGCTGTTTAAAATCATTTTAAATGACACTGCTTGACATGTCAATCAATTCCAAGATAGTATGATATTTCCATGAATAAGTGGAGCCAATGAAGCAAACAATAATCAAACTTACCTGATGATGTTCTACAGATCCTACTCTCTTAAATAGATAGAAACCTGTGCTTTGTTTATAGAGCACAGCAGCCCTCTCACACACTGCTCTAATTTACTCTTGCGTCCACTTTATCATCTGTCCCTCTCTCTCCCCAAAGCGCATTTGAAGCGCCAAACCCTCTTTCACTTGGATTAATCGTGCTCTCCCTTCTGTTCACAGTTATGTGCCCTGTAGTAATGTGTATCAGTATTGGATCCGTGAAATAGGTCTTGTGACAGCAGCAGCCTAATAAAGCTGTGGCGTCTGTCATTAATGTTAATCAAACAACAAAAGACAGAGAAAATCCCTCAGTGCTCTTGACTAAATAATGTTTTGTTGAATAACTTTAATATGTTAATTTACAGTTTATTCAATTTCTGTAGCCTATTTAAAACACGTTCATATTTTAGAAAATGTAGTTAACATTTGCATCATTAATGATTTATCTTATCCACCCGCGACCCACCCGCAAATAATCAGAAAGCATTTTTTTATTACCCAACCCACCCGACCCGCGGATATAATTTATAATAATCCTATAATCTTATTTAATCCATCTCGTACGCCCGTTTCTCAATTTGCTAGTATCCTATATAATCTCCTGCATGCTGTTTATCGGATTCTAATTTGCAATATAATTTTCGTTCAGACCCTTCTGAATCGGATTATAGTCGGTGGTTCACTGCTGCTAATAGGCATGATTGGTATAGCATAAGGAGGCTATAAACCTTGTTCATTGGTTATGAAATGAGGATAAGGCTTCACCAGTAGTTGACGATTATCGAGACATTGAAAAAGATAATTTTATGAACCATAACGGGCCTTGGTCCTTCAGTGTTTATGACCAATGTGCGATTATTAGACATCAAAACAGCACCCTCGTGTGGTAAAATGAAATACTAGCCTACACCTGTAGTGCCGTGGAAATTAATGTGAATATTTAGATCTCTTCATTTAACAGACCACGAAAAGTTTGTAAGAATATTGTATTTACTCTCTGTAGGCCTATATAATATTAGGTTGTACATTAGATTTTATGAAATACTAATGTGCAGTTGTGTCAGTGATTGACATTATCCTTACGGATGAGTGAAGTGTCTCCTCTATTTTCACTTTATCTATGAGGTTTGTTGTCGCTGTTACAGTAGATTTGTACATTAATCAGTCACACTATTGTTACCACTTTTCAGTCCAATAGATCTGCATTCACAGGTTTTCTGCTGGGGAAAAAAATCCAGTTACATTAATCATTACAGCCCACTCTTTTTTTAAAGATATTTTTTGGGATTTTATGCCTTTTTTTAATGCCGAACTCGGATCGCCGTGAGCGCAGTTGCACTCTATGTCGACGCACTAACCTATTGGCGCCGACTGCATCCTGCAATTTTAAATAAAAATACAAGGTTATTGAGCTCAGAATTTTTTATTTAAATTCACCAGGTCAATCATTGCACATTCAACAGGAAAGCATTGCTTGATGACAATCACAGGATGACTAAAACAGTAACGCTGCATTGTTTTACAAGTAACAGGAAACTTTACTTGATGTTAACCTTTCTACCTGTCAGACTTCAACATTTTGCACAAGAGCTGTTTGATAAGAACATATTTAAGAGAATAATATTTTTATTCATTCATGTATTAATATGATCTGAGGGCTGCATTTAGCTGCTGTCTCCATCCAGGGTGTGCTTGTCAAACAGGTACTCCGCCATCCTGTTGTTGCCAGCATCCATCTTGGAAAGGTTGGTGATGTGGTCAGCAAGCTTCTTGATGGCCTCAACCTGCTCATTCAGGTAGTGAGTCTCCAGGAAGTCACACAGCTGTTGGACAAGACGTCAGAAAAAAAAATTTAGGATGCTAAATTCTCAGCACTGAATGAAACTGCTTTAAAGAGACATGTATATGCAGGCAGATTTAGCGTCTCAACTTCAACAATGAGGGTCACTCACATGAGGGTCTCCCTTCTCAGAGGCGACCTTATGCAGATCCAGCAGAACCTGGTTGACGTTCTTCTCCAGCTGAAGAGCACACTGCATAGCAATCAGTCCATTGCCCCACACATCACGATCAGGTTTCTGAAGAGAGACACAATCAGTGAGTAGTGAGCATGGCATAAGGTCATTCCATAAAAATTGGTCTAGAGTCAGATTTGCTTATGTTACAATGTTCAAAGTCAAAATGCTTAATTCAAAACATTATTAAAGCACCTTGATGTCCTGAAGCACAAAGCGTCCCCCCCTCTTGTTCTGGAACTCCATGAACTTCTCAGCATGCTCGCGCTCCTCCTCGCTGTTCTTCTTGAAGAACTTGGCAAAACCAGCAAGAGCGACATCATCCCGTTTGAAGTAGAAAGCCTGAACAAAATCAAAGAAGGGAATTAAAATGGCTGCAAAACTAACTCATCACAGAACAAGAATATGGCAAGCAGTTTTAGCTTAAAATATTCCAAGCGTTACTCGTCGTAATTGCATTTTTACTAGTAACAATTCAGTTAGAGAGCTCTGCAATTGCATTCTTACTAGTAACAATGCCAATTAGAGATCTCTGCAATTGCATTCTTACTAGTAACAATTATGATTAGAGAGCTCTCTAATTCAGTTAAGAGATCTCTGCAATTGCATTGTTACTAGTAATAATTAAATTAGAGAGCTCTTCAATTCAATTCTTACTAGTAAGAATTACAATTACAGAGCTCTTTAATGCAATTTTTACTAGTAACAATTGAATTAGAGAGCTCTCTAACTGGCATTGTTACTAGTAAGAATTTAATTAATGGTCCCATAACACTGATGCATAGCTAATGCCATTTGCGCTATTTAGCCTATAAGGTTTTTATAAAATATTTATACAATGTCAAGAATGGACAAATAATCGATAGAGAAACAACATGTCGTGAAACGATTTAGCAAAGTGATAAAAACGAGCCTGTGTATAATATGGCAAATATCATGGGACAATCCTGCAACAAAGGCTACTATATTCCACAATGGATTTTATGCCTTTTTCCTCTTTGTAACCATCTTTAGATACCTGACACCTGACTGATCAGAAAAGTACAGTGAAGAGAGGTCACAATTACGAAGCAGTTTTGTAGCTTCCAGAAATTGCCAATGAAAGCTCACTCTGTGTCAGCAGCAACAACCACAAACTCCCAAGAGCTGACATGTGATTCAGCATTTTGTCTCTCATGGAAGATGCGTGTATTTGTAACCTGATCAGCTTGCTACAGTAGCTTACACATGTCAAACCATCAGACTGTTATAGTAAACCATATTATGTTTAATTTGAAACAGTTTTTTCTTGTCTGTTTGGGTCTATCGTTACAAATATTTCCAATGTTATAAATTATTAGTAGCCTTTACCATAGGATAGGCTTAATTCATCTAAATTAAGCTTTTTAAGGAGGTTATTTGAAAAGTCAGTGAGTGTAGCTTTAGGATACCAGTCGGAAGTGCTATTGCAATATAAGAAACAAGACCATTACATGCTACTCTATTTGTGAGCTCTTAGAAACTATTGTTTTTCTGCTCACTGAAGAACTTGCACTATTGATAGTTTTGCTGAATCCTCTTTTGCTTGTGCTGCTTGTAATCAAGTGACCTTAATTTTACAGTGTTCTTCAGTGATTTGTTCAGTCAATGTAACATTTCCTGAGTGCTGCGCACATTGATAAACGATGCTGGATGTCCCTTTGTGCACACTAGTGCTGAGGTGAACAACAGAAGTACTGTAATACTGGTGTTAATGAAACTTACAAACACAACCCGACGTTATTATTTTTATATTTTTTAAGGTTTTAGCCTGAAAAACGATGTGCCAGGACTGTATCAACTGCACACTCGCTGAAGCAGAGTTGAGCCTGCCATTACCTGGATGGTTGACATCCTTATAGGGAAACTGAGATTGCTGTTGGAAGAGGTATTAATGAGGCCAGTACAGGAGCACATCCTCTGGTCTTTTTGTGTCCTGATGATAAACTAGATGACACTGCTTAACAGACTCATGTATTTAAAGTCACTGACTAATCACCATAATTGACCTCTACTGGCTACTTTAAAAAAAATCAACTTCATTTAACCCATGAACTAATTTGCATATTTCTTTCTTGCTTTTTCATACTCAGATCTGGGGAAACATTATAACTCACATGGGGGTCTCCCTTCTCAGAGGCGACCTTATGCAGATCCAGCAGAGCCTGGTTGACGTTCTTCTCCAGCTGAAGAGCGCACTGCATAGCAATCAGTCCATTGCCCCACACATCACGATCAGGCTTCTGAAGAGAGACACAAACATTAAGAGCAAGATCCCCTCTAATTCAACAGTCCCTTACAAATAGGCGTAATATCAGTTTATAACAATCCCGAAACGTTTGCCTTGTTTTATTCAGTAAATTGCTTATATTGTTCTCATCTCGCTTGTGATGCTTTGATGTTTGAGTGTGCGAACTTTTTTCAAGCTCTTCACCTTTGGGTAACCTTTTTTGGTCTACGCACCTCAGTTGGATTTTTTTGAAGGCGCGGTGAGTCTCTGGCTGCTTCTTGGCCTATATAACATGACATAAATTTACCTTATTTAGTTAGGTCTAAAAAGGTAAATTATGCATACTTTTAATTTTAAAAACATGCAACTAACCCTAAGGAAAACCCTAATCCTTACCCTATAGTAAGTACATGCTGATAATTAAGCCCCACACATCACGATCAGGCTTCTGAAGAGAGACACAAACATTAAGAGCAAGATCCCCTCTAATTCAGTCCCTTACAAATAGGCATAATGTCAGTTTATAACAATAACAATTGTATTAAAAAACAAAAACAAAACAGGGTTACAAGTTTTAGTTCAAAATACTATTAAAACACCTTGATGTCCTGAAGCACAAATGGAGTCCAACAAAACCCAGAGGAAGGCATGTTCTTTCTGTGTAAGCTAAAAATACAGCATTTGTTTTTTTACTTAGCCAAGTTATTCAAACATTTGTTTAAAAAAATAAGTACATAAACAATTAAGGATAGCATTGTGGGTGCTGACCTAAGACTTGCTTCTCTACCAGAGGAAGGCATGTTCTTTCTGTGTAAGCTAAAAATACAGCATTTTTTTTTTACTTAGCTAAGTTATTCAAACATTTGTTTAAAAAAATAAGTACATAAACAATTAAGGATAGCATTGTGGGTGCTGACCTAAGACTTGCTTCTCTGTCCTTGAACCAATAACAAAGTGGTTTGTGAGGCAAGATATAACAAAGAACGGAAGGCATGTTTCTTTCTGTGTAAGTTAAAAATAAACATTTGTTTTTTTACTTAGCTAAGTTATTCAAACATTTGTTTAAAAAAATAAGTACATAAACAATTAAGGATAGCATTGTGGGTGCTGACCTAAGACTTGCTTCTCTGTCCTTGAACCAATAACAAAGTGGTTTGTGAGGCAAGATATAACAAAGAACATATTTCTACAGGTGTAATATCCTGACCTGATACTTTTTATTTTATTTTTTTATGCATTATATAAAAAAGGATATAATTGAAGGAGAGAAAACTTGTCACCATACAACAAAAGATATGTCTTGTAAAAGTGAGAATAGAAGAAATGTATAGACACATACCATTGAAGTGTAAATGTAGGAAGCGTAAAGCTCCAAGTTGATCATCTTGTTGATCAAAGCCTCGCAGTCGCGGTCGTAGTTCTGGCGAATCTGAGAAGTCTCCATTTCGGCAGGTTTTATTAGCCTATCAAAACTGATACAGAATAAGAAATTTAAATAGGCTTAAATAATTTCCGGCGAGATCGAAGTTCCGTTCAATCACTGTTGAAGCAAGAACCTCTTCAGATCTTCCCGAAGCTGTGAGTGAAATGAAGGTGCGCGTTCATCTTATATACGATCAGCGAATGATGCGTCAGTGAAACTAAAAACCAGCCAATCAAAGAACGAAGCTCAGTGAGGAAGCGACAAGACAGTCCACTGTGTCATTTTCTGAGATAACATGCCATATTTATTAGCCTATCAAAATTGATACAGAATAAATACGAAATTTAAATAGGCTTAAATAATTTCCGGCGAGATCGAAGTTCCGTTCAATCACTGTTGAAGCAAGAACCTCTTCAGATCTTCCCGAAGCTGTGAGTGAAATGAAGGTGCGCGTTCATCTTATATACGATCAGCGAATGATGCGTCAGTGAAACTAAAAACCAGCCAATCAAAGAACGAAGCTCAGTGAGGAAGCGACAAGACAGTCCACTGTGTCATTTTCTGAGATAACATGCCATATCAACTATCATGAACGTGTCTTTTTTCCTTCGTCATGATCCAAGGAAAACTGGGCTGTCCTAGAACTGAATAAGGTACATGTCAAATGAAAACTCCAAGAATTAGAGTGCAACAGCACAAAGAGTGTGCAACAACATACTGTTATGCAAGAAAAATTTCAGATTTTGTCTGACAATAAAATTTATATCATTACACATAAAATATAAATCCAGGATGGTGGTCTAACCAAGAGAAACTTTGTCTATATTTAAATGCTTTGGACACTGCCTGCTGTATACTAGGCAGTATGTAGCAAGGCAGTTTTTGGAACAGAGCTTTTTGGCTTCCATGGTGGTTTAGAAAAAAGGAAGCAAGAACCTCTTCAGATCTTCCCGAAGCTGTGAGTGAAATGAAGGTGCGCGTTCATCTTATATACGATCAGCGAATGATGCGTCAGTGAAACTAAAAACCAGCCAATCAAAGAACGAAGCTCAGTGAGGAAGCGACAAGACAGTCCACTGTGTCATTTTCTGAGATAACATGCCATATCAACTATCATGAACGTGTCTTTTTTCCTTCGTCATGATCCAAGGAAAACTGAACATAACTGAATGAATTAAATGATATCATGATCTGTAGCCCAAAACTAGAACCTCAAAAACAAAAGCCATTGAACCATTCTGTCTCGTGGTTTGTGGCATGGCATTAGGTTAGGCCTGGTTCCAGCTCATATATGACCAATAGGGCAATAGGGTCAAGAGTGGGCTAAGATCAGGAAAATATTATGTCTCACATATTCTTCTTTAGTTAGATATTTGCTCCTTACATTTCAATGTATATGGACTAAATGATATAATTAGTGTTATTATAAACACTACTCTTACACGGATTTTTTTGATGTTAACTAAGTTATTCAAACATTTGTTTAAAAAATATGTACATAAACAAACAATTAAGGATAGCTTTGTGTGGCTGACCTAAGACTTGCTCCTCTGTCCTTGACCTACTTGTAACAAAGTGGTTTGTGAGGCAAGATAATATAAGAAACCAACATTTAAAAAACAGCTGGAGACAACAACAATCAAACTGGACCTTTCATTGAAACCCTTATAGTTACAGAGATACAGCCCTTGTGACAACTTCTCTATGTAACAACTAGCCCTGGCGTACCCTAAATGCATTCAGTCAGGGACTTATATTAACTTATATTAATGTGAACACTGGGGCAAATCATTTGCTTTTATTTCTGCATCATCCACCATGCAGGTTTAATAAAAATTCGGAATAGGTTTATATAGCATCACTACACATTGATAAAAAGCAATTCCTGCTGGTTGAATTATAAAACTAGAACAGTACAATCCCACAATTTTAAATAAAAAGACAAGTTAATCCAGCCCAAAATATTTATTAATCAGATTCACTAGTTTAAAATAAGTGTACTTTCAACAGCAAAACACTGGCTTGAGCGTCAATGGAACTGAAACCAGCCAATCAAAACATGAGTAACGAAGCTCCATTCAGCTGTGACAGCAAAGAAAAGCTCAAGTTTCATGAGTCTTTTTTTACCTTTTCATAATTAATGGTAAACTGATTCCAAAAAAAAAATTCATTCAGTTCACTGGCTCCGCCGGGCTCCCTCGTCCCTCCGGCTCCGCCTTGGTCAGTCGTCAGCCCTTCCTCCACCATGGCTCCTCCCTCCATCGTCTCCACCTAGAACTCTGTCTGCCGGCCCCCTCCCGGATGCCCGTCCTCCTCTCGAGCCTCCTCCCAAGTCCCGACCCGTCCCTCCCTCTGTTGTATCTACGGCGCGAGGACACAAGGGGCAATATGTCAGGATTATGGACCTGTTTTGGTGTGTTTTCCCTCCCCATGTGCTCCGTGACCCAGTTTCTTCCTTGTTTGATTGTGTTCATTTGATTCAGGTGTGTCTCGTCTATTACCCTCGTTTAGTTTAGTGTTTAAAGCGTTGTCTGTTCTATGGTTCCTTTGTCCAGTGTTATACGTCTATTGGTGCTACGTGTGTCTCCTGCCTGCCTTGTGTTACCCTTTGGTTTGTTCATAAAAGACTGTTATTTCTGCTACTCCTACATCTCCACGTTCCTCGCTCCTCACAGTAGACATCCTGACAATACCATGGCTATCGACTGAATTTAGTGAATTAACATTTTAAATCATTTAATAAATGTGTTCCACGATTATTGTTAAGTGTTCATGAGATGGATTGCCTGAGGAAAGAAACTGTTCCTGTGTCTGGCCGTTCTGGTGCTCAGTGCTCTGTAGCGTCGACCAGATGGCAACAGTTCAAAGAGGGAGTTTGAACTGTTGGAGATTTAAGTCCCAGTCTGTGTGTTTTGTCTTTGTCGGGTCTTACATTGTGATGCACGTGTGTCTTCTACCATTCCTGGTTTGGATTGCACCTTGTGTGGATTCATTAAAGACTGTTTATTCTAATATGTCTCCATCATTCACTCTGACACAGTGCGTGACATCATGGAGGCAGTGGCTCATTTTACTTAATAAAGTACTTTTGCTGGAAAGTCTTGTACTTTTCTAGAAAATCTAGTACATAATAGAACTTCAGCCATTTTATGTCACAGTATTTCACCATCAGTTATTGTCGTAAAACTCTGTCATAAAAGTTTTAATGGCATCCGTTGTGCATATGATTTTGCTTTCTCAAATAATATGACTTAATAAATCATTGAGAAGAGGTTGTGTGTGCCAAACACAGTAAAAAATGTACTGAAACAAACTAACAATAAATAAAATGTTAGCACTGTGACTGACCTAAAAATGCTCCTTATATTTATCTTAATAGAAGCATTGTATAACATACCAAATCTCGTGGGACAATCTTGCAACAATGTAATTCCTGTGTGGAGGTAGTGCTGGTTTTCACTTGGTAACTGTCAGTACAAGAGTAATTGGTCTGGTGACCAAGCAAATTTGTACTCAAAATTGCCCATGAAACCTCATTCTGTGTCAGCTACAAACAAGTGCAGACTCCCAAGAGCTGACATGGAGCTGTGTTTCTTGTGAGTCACCATTTATTTACTATTAGTTGTGGGTACATTTGTAACCTGATCAACTCACTATGGTGTAGGTATAAACACCTTGAACTTGGTTAGAGTAAACCGTGTTCTTTGGTGTCAATCATCATATATAATTAATATATTTGTCCTATAATATTTCCACTTTAGAAAAATTAAGTTATCGGTATTTTTACAATAGCTCTAAAAGATGTATAAAAATCTAAAACTTGCAACAATCTGACATTACAAAAACTGACACTAAGTGCAAGAAGAACATGGTGTTAACCTGCCTTGGCCAAACAGCAGGGGGCATCTATGACAGACTGCTGTGTATTACATCAAGAAGAGTTACTTACTGCTATAGGTTTCATTTACTTTCCATTTGTCAGGTGGAAAATCTAGGTGGGTTTAGGTGGAAATATATTGTATCTAGGAAGATGCATCAGTAAACAGAAATGAAAGAAAACATCAAAATAGTTTAAGTGATGGCAACTTATAATTAAATTTTGTAGCATAAACAATTTTTTTTAAAGTTGATTATTCAAAAACTAATTGAGTTGCCTTAGAAGCAGTTAATCTCATATATTTCAGCTGAAATTATCATTTGGTATTGCATATGCTGAATCTAAGTTATTTAGCATGTTAATTTAATGAACAAGTAAGATACTTGTTACTGCTATTAGTGCAGTCATTGCTCATAGAGTCAATGTGTTTACCTAATCACCAACAATTTAACCACCAGCACTACTTTTTAGCACTTATGGTAACCACAAAAACACAACAGAAACTCTTTTAAATGTCAAACATAACAGGTATTTCCCTTCACTATCACTACTAGAATGTCTATAGAAATGCTGCATATAGGTAAAGTGTGTTATATTAGCTTATACAACAGTTTAATATGAGCCAGTTTAGAGAAAACAAATAAATAAAACCCAACTGTGTGTTAAATACTTAATATTAAAGTGAAATATCTCTGTGCAATATTGTTTGATATCTATTCATGATAATACTCACTTTCCATGTCACATAATATGCAGTCGTCAGCAGTTACAGACCGATATGTGACATCTGTTTTTATATTGTTTGCACACATAGCCTAAGTTACTATGTATCTGGATCAACTAGCCGAATAGACAAATGTAAATGTTTATTCATAACCCTGCTGAAAATAAGTCAATAATGTTAGCTGATGCAAACTGTCGAGCTAAGGAGCTGAGGAGCGTCTTGCTGTAGCCTGCGGTGGACGTCCAATCCGGCCCACATCCAAGTGTGACGTCACAAACCACGCCCATGTCCAAATACGTCACATTCTCATTCATTTTGAAACAGGAAGAAGCATAAATTAGAAGATAATTCGTATCATTTGCCAACCGCTAAAAAAGAAGCAGTTATTTGCCGTGTCGGTAAGTAAAAACAAGATCTTTGGCCTTTACCAAGACTTAAAACGTTGACAACTTTTAGAATGTGTGTGTCGTTTGTGTGCATGTGCATAAACAACAGTTCGGCTCGCTTAGTATGTGTTTAGAACTTCACATAGGCACGTTATTACTTAGCTAGCAACATGTATATATATAACATATGTATATATATATATGTTATAAAAAATAACATATATACAGGGTATAAAAAATTGCACGTTCATTCAGCATTCATTTTATGTCATAAAGAACGTAAGAATCAGTGCACTGTGTGTGTATGTATGTACGTACACACACACACACACACACACACACACACACACACACATATACATACATACATACATGTATTGATAGTTAGATAGATAGCACTATGTCTTACAACATAAAATGAATGCTGAATCAATGTGCAATTTTTTATATACATAACACTCATCTCACCCACTTAAACACACACACTTCATCCCTCTCACACATATGTACTTACCGTGAGTTATTCTGTGGGGAGGTGAAAGGGCCTACCTTTCTCCAGATGGACAGTAAAAATCAACAGAATGTCATCAAAGATTTTCTGGGGGGAAATTGGATGAAGCAAGAGATGTTTTTTTATTAATCTTTGAG